TCATGTTCCTAACAACAGTTAAAATACCCCAGGAGTGTGGAAATTGTTCTCAATGACAGCTCAAGAGCTATCTCTTGGAGAAATTCCTCCTCCCAAGAATCCCCACTATTATTGCATGCTCCCAAGAGGTGACACCTCAGGAACAGTTGCAGATCATAGGGGACCCTTTGGGGAAGTAAACTCCCCCCTAAAACTCCTGAGGTTCCTGTTGTCATGGGAGTGCTTGATGGCCCTCCCTCTTTTATACTGCATTACCAAAAGTATGCTTTGAAGGGAACGGCAATCTTTCTTTCTGGTGGGGACATCAACATTGTACCAGTGTGTGCTTGCATCACGTCTCTTTCATTTGCACAGTATGGTCACCAGTCTCAACCATTCTGCATCTGTCTGCAGGTCAAGCACTTGTCTGTGTGTCTTCAGAATTATCCTAACCCATGTGTGTATGTTTGCCTGCAGACCCACAAACCTTCCACTCTAAGCGTGCAGGCACCAGCAGTATCATCTTCCTCCCCATTTCGCTAGTGTCTTGCCCATCTTCGCATTCTTTATTTGTACTTTCTAAAATTCTACTCCTATCCACTGAAATGTATTTTGAGATTCTTGCCACAGTTCAGCTCACTTTTGCTGCTGTGCTGGGTGATTTTATTCAAGAGTAGCAATGGCATCAACATTTATGGTTACCTGGTTCTGTATACTCAGTTTATGAGTTGTAATATTCTGCTGCACTACAAACCAAAAGACGTTCCCTATAGCCTCTTCAAGCTGGAATGGTGAGTGGGATTCTGTGAATACATATCTAGCACACCAAGTTTCCACAGCTCTTGTGGGTTCCTTTAAAGAATGCCTGTGCAGTTGCTTGATTGCAGCAAAACTTTATGGCATTCAGAAGAATCTTCTCACACATCAAAAACAATGTGATTATGTACCACTGATGCATTTGATTACAATACTTAAGCAATATCATGAGACAGCAATAAATGAGACTATTTTTGGAACTTAGCAATGGGGGGGGAACAAAAATCAAGTCTGTGATTCTTATTATTATTGTGCTACAGTTCTCTGAATAGTGCAACATTGGGATTAGGCAGAACCAAAGCAGATATGGGGTCTAGATTAATATGTCACAGCCAAAGATCCTGCAGGAAAATCCTCATCAAGTATTTACTGGAAACTTTACTGTATTTCTCATAACCAAATCTTAAGATGAAAGGAATTTTTAAAAATATATATTTACTGGTAGATAATTAACCAAACCATGCAATCCAGCCATTTTAGTAAAGAGAATCTTCTCAGTTTGAGTTGATTGTTTTGACTGACGCAAAGCTTTTCTAACTGGGTTGCTTCCTTTGCTGGTGTTGTGTGGTTACTCTCATGGGTGCCATTATTTGGTGGGAGGCAGCTATTCCTTCTAACTTGTTTCCTTCCCACTTCTTTCCAGCCCTATTTTTAGAGATGGCAGCCAGCTAGTTAGCCAGGGCAGCTATCCAATTTCTTTCAACAGAACCATCATTTCATTGCTTGGATTTTAAAGTTCTTTTTACCTTTGTTTACATATTTGCACTTTAAAATCCAAGCCAGAGTTCCAAGCATTGATTCTGGCAAGAGTTGGTCAGATTGAGATAGCTAGCTTAGATTCAGTCCAGAGAGAAGGGGAATGGACCCAGACACTGAGCCCAAAGACTGACTCAAATGTCTGCAGAGGTATTAGCTAATGCTCTGTCTGGCAGAACACTGATTTTTTTTTTTTTAAAGAATCAGATGGTCTGTTCTGCCAAGGCCATTAAAATATATCAGTTTGTCAACCAAACTCCAGCTTAGTTGGTGAGCTTCTGGGACTGGGTAGATAGTGATATGATTTTTTTAAAAAAATCCAGAACTCCCAATTTTGACTGAATATTTGCTGGCCTGTCTGTTGTATTTCTAATCTGCCCAATAGCTAATGTTCTCTGAGCAGATTACAAACAGTTAAGTGACAAAAATGCCATAGTAAAATTAAAACATAACATAAATTACAAATATTTTGAACGATAGAATCATAGGATAGTAGAGGTTAGAAGGGGCCTATAAGTCCAACTCCCAGCTCAATGCAAGTTTCCAAGTTAAACCACTCTGACAGATGGCTGCCCAACTGCTTCTTGAATGCCTCCAGCGTGGGAGAGCCCACAACCACCCTCGGTCATTTGCTCCACTGGTGTACTCCTCTAACAATCAGGAAGTTGTTCTTGATGGGCAGCCAGAATTTGGCTTCCTTTAACTAATCTTGGCCCTCCTCTGTGTGACAGCCTTCCAAGTATTTGAAAAGTAATACATATCCCTACCCCTTCCCTTCTCCAGGCTGAACATGCCCAGTTCCTTCAATCTCTCCTTACAGAGCTTTGTTTCCAGTCCCCTGATGATCTTTGTTGCCTTCCTCTAATTTTTTCCCCAGTTTGTCTGGAAAACATAAACCACCATGCTCTCAGATTTTAGCACATGGCTGCCCACTCTAAGAGACTCCACTGAGCTTCACATGCACCTGGTATATATATGTGCACGTCTGTTGATTTTCATAACCATGAATCTAATAAAAGATTAGATTGCAGCTTCAAACAAATAGATATAGCATCTATTTTAAAATAAACAAAACCCACATTATAACACATTTTCAATATCACCAGAGATAAATCTGCAAGAAAAACTGGGATTTTCCCAAAATTGGATGAAATCATACTTGGAAAACAGGAGCAACAAGAAGTGCATCTAAAGAAGGGGAAGCAAGACAACTAGGCTAACATGAAATTAAATTGATTCTTTGTAAAATGTTTTACTTGTTATAATGCAAGTTTATGGATCAACTTGTTTAACATTCTAGTAATGAACTTAGAAACGGTGTTACATTTCATCTAGTGTTAATCAATAAAATGTAATATATTTGCATTTACAGAATACAGAATAGGACACCAAACTATTTTATTTTCCTTTCTTCTTCCTGCAATGGTTTATTACAATGCAGATTAAGAACCTGCGATTTTTCTTCCCAGTTGTAAACAGGTTGCTTATTTCTTTGATGTCACTCATTCCACACAGTTCAATATCTACTAACAATGGACGTAAGGGAGGCTAGCAGTTTGAGAAAGTTGCTTGTCATTTGCTGTATTTTACAACAACACTATTGCCTACAGCTAAATCTCATCTCTCATTTTAAAAATTCACAACCCTCCACCCCACCACCCTCTGCCAATGGTGCATTCTTACACTTGCTACAAGTTCAACTTTTACACTGTAGGACAGAAGTGTTCCAGTTAAGAATTTGTCATGGACAAAGTCTTAATTTAATTAATTTAATATTTTCTTTTAATTTGCAGGGAGAGGAGTACATTAGGAGTAAGAGAAACAAACAAATGGAGCAGAAAATTAAGCTTCAAACTATAGAGCTACTTTGAGAGCACAGTTTACTCAAAAAGCTGGAAAGTAAAGGGGAACAAATATGCATACACAAGATGTAGAACAATCCAAGATCCCTGTTGCAAATCATAAAATAATATAAAAAGGTGAACATAAGGTACCACTGATGTACTGCTGCAGATTGGCTATGCTTCTAATGAAGCTCCAGCAGGTATGGTGCCCAAGGGAAGCAAAAAATGGGTTTGTATAATCACCAGAACCCACAGTGACTTGCAGTATGCACCAGGTAGCTTTTCACTATTTAGGCTGTTAGAGTGACAGGTTATGTAATCACAGCCCAGTGTGAGGGGATTTGTAGGCTTAACAAACCACTGCCTCTTCTAAAAGAGACCATGGGTTCTGCACACTCGGCAGATTCCTTGCTCATCCCCCTTTTTGCTCCCCCTGCAAAAGAGGTGTCACCAACCTGGCATGTCCCTGAGCACCTTTATGGCAAGCACAGCAAAGAGGAGGTGGGATTCATCCTTCTTTCTTGCTCGGGATTACCAGTGGCACATGCTCAACCTGGTCTCTGCAAAGCCTCTATGGCCCTCTTGAGACAAACTGGGATTTAGGGGAGGGGGGACCAGCTGAGGCACAGAATCCCAGGAGATCCTCAGATCTCCCTCTGGCACACATGTGGGGAGGCAGAGGAGAATCAGCTGAGCAGCACCGTTCCTTTTCACAGTACCACCCAGCTGATTTCCCTCCCTTTTGCCTGTTCCCAAGTTTGCCAAGCTTGTTTTTCAGCTTGTTTTTCCCTCTTATCAGAAGCTTACACTTTTGCTTAAGGGAAACATATCTATTACTCAAAAGGCTACATACAACTTAGCTGTAATTCTTTGAAAATTAAATTTTCCAAGATAATTTGATTTTTTGGAGGTATATTTACTCAAAATTGTATATTAAAAAGGGTTATTGAAATAGTGCAGAGACAGTAATCTATTGTTACTAGATCTGTAATAAGCAGCACTACTCAGGGCTTTCCAACTCCTCTAGCCCAGATTAACCACAGTTTATATTAGGACCAATTGTAACAATAGTTTAGCACTAAAGCAAGAATCTTCGTGCCGCAAGTCAATATTCCCCTAGTCTCTTGAAATGGAACCATTATGGCCAGCCACAAGCCACCAACTCCAAATGGGGCAGCAAATTGAAGGGAGCCATTTTGGATCAACTTTAGCTGAAGAAGGGCCACCATGCTGAAAACATTCTCAGTATATTTATTGTATCTGAGGTGAATAAAAGCTGTAATTAAATTCAAATTATAGCAAGGCAGATATAAAGAGAAGGAGGCATAAAGGTTTATTAATGCAGTAAATTGAGATAAATCAAGAGACATGTCATGCAGTGCAAATACAGTATGCATCCAATCTCACATACTAGGTGGCTGTGTGAATCTCAGATACGGGAGAACAACTCAGCATGCAAGTTTGACTAGTCACTAGTCAAATAACCATGGAGATGTACAATGCTTTTAAAATTGGACTAATGGGGTAGATTATCCAAATTTTGACACCATGTGTCAAATCTACATGTGGATTATAGAGTAGAATTATTGAGAGTGAAAATATTACCTGAAGAAGGTAACAAAAAACTGTACCAGGTCCATGATGGTGTTGTGTTGTGAAAATGCAATCTATAAAAGAAGAGAGAAAAGTAAATTTCACAGGCAATTTTTACTACCACTACGTTAAGCAAAGTAGTTCCTTATAGTCAGTTGAAGGAAAACAGAATGACCAAAGCCAACTAACATACTGAAGTCAGCCTGGTGTAGTTAATATACGCCAGGTTTTAAGGTCTCTGGTATGTAGAAAATTATGTTACCTATTACCAGTTAAAATTTCCTACACCCAGTTCCTCTAGTCTCTATCCAGCTTAACAGCTAATTAGAATGGAAATATGAATATTGTGTTCTGATACCCACTACCAGGGCCCTGCAATACACTAAGGACTTCTGCCTGTCACTAGGCTCAAAAGTTGAATCCCTAACAACACTCCATCTCCCCATCTTTCCAGAAGACAACGGAGACAAAATGATGCAATAGCCTTTTACAGAACACAACATAACGTTTTTGATGACTTCAGCTTTCTAGCAACACTTGATATAGCTAAACAAGGAGAATTGTCCACCCAGCCGGACCTACTAGGACATGTCTATAAGCAGGTTTCCTAACCCTCGCTTGGAGACAATGAAAGTGTTCTCAACATTGTCTGACTTGATCCAACCATAACCTGGTTATATACAGATTATTTATATATATACACACACTCACAAACACATTATATAATATATATAATGTTTATATAGAGAGTTATATAACTGTAACCCGATCTGACCAGTTATACTTTTCATGTGAGCCTCAACTTCCTGCAACACAGTGCAGGTTTTACATAAAACATATGCCCAATGCAATAGATTCAGTTCAAGACACACATATATACTTTTAACTGTTACAGTACATTAGGATGAATCCTAAAAGCATAAGAGAAGATGATTTTTTTCAGGGAAGTAAGCTCCCAAATGCAGCAGGGGGAAGGAAGACTGTTGGCAGCAGTCAGAACCTATAAAACACATTTCAAGTTGTTTAATTATGCTGAAGAATTGCACAATAAATATATTGCATGGAATTTGATGCTGGGAAACTCGTACCTTGCAAAATCATTTAAATTTAACATCATGATCTATGCCTAGGCTTTACGCATGTGAAAGCAGGCTAGATAGGAATCATAACTATGCATGGAAATAGAAGTATTAAAGGCAAGTACCCCTCCTAAATTAATCTACATGCATAGATCCATCTTTGAGAAACAGTCACCCACTGCTTTGGCAGAGGAATAGCTTGAGCAGTTGACTGGCAGTTCCAGCTTTCCAAAGGATGCTCCATGTATGATAACTTCTCTGCTAAATGTGAAGGGAGTTTAACTGGGGCTTAGGCCTTTCGGAAGGCTCAGAATAATTTACTCTAACCTTCTCTTTGTAATGGATTTACCTTCAAAACATATTTAACTTTTTTATTTGCATCAGTTAATGATATCCCTAGAGTCAACTTTGTTTGGTGTTTTGTAATATATATGCAGAATTTTCAGTAATTGTATTTCCAAATACCTTGCACATAAATGTTCTACAAACTGCTTACAGATGCATATTTCCACTTGAAGCTAAAGGTCTCAGAGGACTTTACCAAAGCTAAGCTCCCATATTGTTGTGCACCACAGCCATATGTCCTGATCTTGGATATGTACTAAAAGGCTTCTTTCTTCTTGCACTGCCACCATATGTCCTAATGTGAGATATTTATTTATACTCCTTTCTCTTCCTGCATACACACCCACATAGCATTTTGTTTTGCAACACAGCAATTTATTTAGAATTAAGGTGGTAGTGTGCCTAAATATTATTCCTAGCTAAACACTTTATTTTGACAGTTCTTTTCTTTTCTGGAAGTGACCTGATTAATACAAACACCGAATACATTCAATTCTTCATAAATTCAATTTCCATAGTGAATAGTATCCTATGATGTTAGGTGTCAAAAGTACAACTGTCACACAGCAAATCAGGCAGACAAAGAAATTAATTTATCATGGATGAAAAACACTCAGAAAAATCTCTCTGAAGTACTTATGTTCTAGGGGCAATAAATGTGCTATTTTCAATATAAAAATAGCAACTAAATTAAAACCCTAAGGGAAAAAATAGGTAAATATAGGGTTTATTTGCCCTGATATGTAGGATACACTGAAAAAAGTACACTGTAACAGCACTGTTAAATATTCAGTGCTATTTTCAAAGTCTCACATTCCCCTTCAATTGGAAGAGAATCTAGAGCACAGATTTTGTGTTAACAGGTTCACAGCTTCACAGATTCAAGCCCAGGTAGGCCCAGTTAAAAATGGATCTCAGGTAACCTTAACTGGAAAAGACCTCTGTCTAAGGGTTTGGAACTCTTCCTCCATGCAGGAGACCATTTGGAGCTATATAAACCAATGTCCCCTGATGCTGGGAACAACTGACAGCAAAAGAAGGGGATGGCAGAGGATGAGGAGGCTAGATGGAGTCACTGGGGCAGTGGGTGAGAGTTTGGGTGGACTCTGGGGGATGGTGGAGGAAAGGAGAGCCTGGGGAAAAGTTGTCCATGGGGTCGTGATGGGTCGGGCATGACTTTGCGACTAAACAACAACAAAACCAATGTCATTGTACTGTTTAACATAACCACTGGATTCTTCAGAGCACTAGTCTAATAATCTAATGCAGAGAGATAAAATATAACCAATTTTCAGCAAAGTACTTTTTACAATGACACTAATAAAAAGCAATTTGTTGATGGAAGTTCTGTATTTTGCATGATTGCAATTATGTTCACTTGTGATATTAGCAGTCATTTTAATTGTCCCATGTTACATAATTATTCCCAAAGAAAACTATTGTAATACTCCTGCTGGTTACAAAAGGTCCATTTTTGGTACTTCAATTATTTCCAAATCAAATAGATGAATACATTTTTCTAAGACACAGATCAAAATTCAAGCAAGCAAGCGAGGGTGTGCTATAGAGAAGCCCACTAAGGCTGGTACTGCTTTTTCTTCTCAATTCGTACCATTGAAGATTAGATGTAAATGAGTTAGAAATGCATTTAGCTTCCATACATCATGCTAACAGAGTTTGTCCTTTCAAATTTATAATGCAGAGTGAATAATTGTGCAGTCCTTTTTCCTGCCAGTGGAGTTATTAGTCAAATCTATAATCTATATTTCAAACACAGAAGACATGAAACATGATTTTGCTTATGATGCCAATTACTGCATTGCAATTATAATAGCTTAATTATAGAAACAATTCTACTCTGCACCAGTTAAATATTTCTATGATCTGTCAGAAATTTTATAGTTAACAATATTTTAATAAGAAAGCCATATTTAATTATTTAGACAAGTTTATACCCAACCTTTCCTCATGTTGTTCAAGTAGATTTACAAAATGAGTCACATTGAAAACAGAATGTATTGAAGGAACAAACAATAATGAAAGCCAACAATAAAACAGTTTAAATGAACTTCATTAAACATTATCATACAACATAATAAAAGGCAGAGTGAAAACCCAGAAGCATTATGCACAAATACTCAGCAGGTAATAAAAAAGTTCAGCCTTTAAAGGCCAAAAACCTTCCTACATCTTAGAATTGTGGCACACAGTAAACAGGAAGGTTGCAAGATGAACCTTCCTAGGTCAGGCATTCCATGTTCTGTTTGGTAAGAGAAAAAGCATGATGGGCTCCAAAATACCAGACAGTCCCCAGAGCTGCCTTAACAGCATTATGGGCCCCAGGCAAAGCAGTGTACTGGGGCCCCTACGACAACTACAACTACTGTTAATTTTGGAAGTTTTCCAGTTTTCCAAGGGTTAGCATACACAGATTAGTATGGGGCCCATGGGCAAGTGCCTATCAGGCCCATGCGTTAAGATGACCCTGACAGTCCCTTACAATGCAGAACTTTATTGGCACTTGACAGCTAACAAGATGATGCAACTTTAAAAGCCTTCTAGCGAGCTGAACAATAAGGCTCTTCAGGTGAAGAGTGAGCACTGCATCCAAACTGGGAACACCTCCCAGTCCTTCCCTTTCATTCAGGCTGTGGGCTCTACCATCAGGGTAGCTCCCACTGGTGCCACCTACCCAAGACTCCTAACTCAGTAGATCGTCTTTCCCAGTGACTCAACACAGGATCAGAGACTGGGCAAGGCAATTGCTGCTCTTTCTCTCTTTGCCCCCTCCCCCCGGTCTCTTACAAAACACGTCTGCTCTCACAGTCAGGCTGGGAAACTGTGGGCAGTGACCTTGATGGAGCTTCAAAACCTCCTGCCCCCCTTTGATCTTCTTGTTCTCCCACTTCCAATTCATCAGTGTCCTCTCCAGAATCCAATAAGAGAAGGTCTTGGATGGCTTTAGTTAAGAGTGCCTGGACCACTCACTACAACAATAACACAGTTTGTACTATCAAAGGGCATTAGGAAGTCCAGAAGTACCCACAAGGACACACTTGTTTTATCAAGTTTCCAGTGTTCGCTGTCAACCAAACTACTCTCTATCCCAAAGGCAAGTCTGAAGTCAAATTGAAATGTCTCTAGATATTCCATATAATTCAGAAAGGGCCAGAGTTCAAAGATTACCACTCACTCCAGGCAGTAGCTTGAAAGTGTTAGAAAATTAGATTATTAGAAAATATCTAATACAGCAGGTTCAAGAAAGCACTTCCTTAAATACTCTCCCACTGCCTTTTTAAAACTCAATAGGCTCACACTTCCTTTAGGCAATCATTTTCCACTCCAGACACCAATACAGCTAGATCAGATTTATTTATTTCATATTTATTAGCTAAAAAAGACAAGGCTCAGACGCACTCGTGCAACAGTTCTGCCTACATTATCAGGCTTCATTTCAAAACAAATGGACAAGCAGGTGCTGAATGCACTGACTCTCCCTAAGGGTGCTGTTCAAGTTGAAACAGATGGTTTATAAATTTGTTCCAGTGGGTCACTGATGGATCTTCTATTCCTTTCCAGATAACAAAAGCTGACAGATTCTTGACCACACAGGGAAAGCTCTGTTGGATTACTCTGTGTGGATGCAATGA